GGACGATGTTGTCCTGTTGGCTCCAACGAACCAGGACCTGCAGCATGCACTGGGACGGTTTGCAGCCGAGTGTGAAGCGGCTGGGATGAGAATCAGCACCTCCAAATCCGAGGCCATGGTGCTCGACCGGAAAAAGGTGCCTTGCCCTCTGCAGGTGGGTGGAGAGGTCCTTCCTCAAGTGGAGGAGTTCAAGTATCTCGGGGTCTTGTTCACGAGTGAGGGAAGAATGGAGCGTGAGATTGACAGGCGGATCGGTGCAGCGTGCGCAGTTATGCGGTCGCTGTATCGGACCGTTGTGGTGAAGAGGGAGCTGAGCCGAAAGGCAAAGCTCTCGATTAACCGGTCAATCTTCGTTCCCTCCCTCACCTATGGTCATGAGCTTTGGGTAATGACCGAAAGAACGAGATCGCGGATACAAGCGGTCGAAATGAGCTTCCTCCGCAGAGTGGCTGGGCGCTCCCTTAGAGATAGGGTGAGGAGCTCAGTCACACGGGAGGAGCTCGGAGTAGAACCGCTGCTTCTCCACGTCGAGAGGAACCAGTTGAGGTGGCTTGGGCATCTGTTCCGGATGCCTCCTGGACGCCTCCCTGGGGAGGTGTTCCGGGCACGCCCCACCGGGAGGAGGCCCCGCGGAAGACCCAAGACACGCTGGAGGGACTATGTCTCTCAGTTGGCCTGGGAACGCCTTGGGGTCCCCCCGGACGAGCTGGAGGAAGTGTGTGTGGATAGGGAAGTCTGGGCGTCTCTGCTTAGACTGCTGCCCCCGCGACCCGGCAACGGATAAAGCGGAAGAAAATGGATGGATGGATGGATGTTAGTCCCATACGAATCAGCCCGGACTCTGAGGAGCACAGGGACTGGACTCCTGTTAGTGCCCAGAGTCAGGACTAAACATAGGGAGGATTCATGCTGCTAAAATCTGGAACAGTCTTCCTGAAGATGTGAGACAGGCCTCCTCTCTGACAATGTTTAAAACCAGGTTAAAGACAGTTCTGTTTAGCTGTGCATACAACTGAGGGATTTTATATTTTTATCTTTCTTTTTAATGTTCTGTGATTATTTATGATTTTAATGCTATCTTATTTTGTTCAGCACTTTGAATTGCCTTGTCTGGGCATGTATACTGGGGTCTCCAGCCTTATGTTGATGTTTTCTGGGGTCACTAGTTTACTGGAGTCTCTTGTGGCTCTGTTGTTGACCTGTAGAAGGAGATCAGGTGGAGTTTGAACAGGTTTTTACCACCTCCATCTCCTCCCTTTGTAAACAGACATGTGTGAGTTGGGTGGAGACCTGTGTGATGCTGTGGATGTGGCTCTATCTCAACAAAACACACAAAACACACACATGTACAGAATCCAGATAGTAACAAGTAAATCCCTTTGTTTCAGAAGTTACAGTTTTCTAAGTGCACTCTAAGAAATAAGGTGTTGGATTTCATTGATAAAGTTATGGCAAACTTTTCCACAAAACTCAGTCAATTAATTGTGAAATAACATTGTTGTTATCTACAACCTCTATGGTCTCTTATATCAGAAGTAAAAGATGTATTTAAATGCAACAGCTTTGGGTGATTACATTCTACTGAATGCTGTTAAATGGTTATTGACAATGTTATGTTGGATTTAATTAACATTATGAATTTGGATTTAAGTGCATCACTATCTTTGTGCTTTTGATTTAATTAACACTATTAGTTATGATTTATTAACAATATTAGTTTTTATGTATTAACAATATTAGTTAGGATTTATTGACAATGTTAGTTATGATTTAATTAACATAATTGTTTATTTTCTAAATAGATTTTAATATTAATGTGTAATCAAAACTAGTGTAGTGTAAAATATAGATACAATTATCCTCTTTTGTTTAATTAAAGGTTGGATCTTTCATCTCACATCCTCGAGGATCTCCTCTTCTCTCCGAGCTCTAGGATGTGAGATGAAAAGATCCAACCTCAAACTAGACAATACAAAGCTGAAGCACTTTTCTCTAGTTTCACATAGAAACATGAACAATTAAACATTCAATAACCTGGAAACATCTATGACTGAGCAGATACAAATACACAATTGTGTTGCATTAACAACTTTATTTTTACCGAGGCAAAGCTCCTGTGAAAAGTTGTACATAAAGCAGTTGCATTAAAAATCAAAAACATGTTCTGTTCCAACAAAGTGACAAATGGATTAAATCTAGCCTGGTCGTACCACACCATAGTACAAATTTCATTTCATACTAAGGTCTGGACGTGCTCCATTAAGCTCTCTGTATAGCTGGTCGAAATACGACCGATTGTAATCGCAAACACAGGGACCAGACCCACGCTACATGCAGTGAAATGATGATTGAGCGGAGTGTACGGATGGATGAGGCCAGGCTAGATTACATCAAGTGCAGGACATAATATTTTTTACATTTGTCGATCTGCTGTTGATCTGCAGAGTTCATACAACACACAATGGGCCTCATTCACGAACGGTTCTTAGGAACAGATTTGTACGTAAATCCTACTTACGCGGTTTTTACGAAGAAAGTGGCATTCACGAATATTTCTCGTAACCAGAATTTCTCTTGGGCAAGTACAAATCCTACGAGTCCTCAGGAGCACTCGTACGCATTCAGTGCTGACATGTTCACACGCCGGGGTTGTCCTCTTTGGTGAAGTTGAATAAAAATACAACATTCCAGTGATATGTCCGTCATATCGATGTATGTATTTATTTATTTGTAGTAATCTTTATTAGTAATCTTTATTTATATACCGCCTTTTTCACTGCAGATCTGGCCTACTTTTTAATTCATTTTGAAATGAAATGTGCCAACGCTTTTCAAAATACATTGGAAATCTTGCCGTGTATTAGTGACCCCTTCCTATTTATAGGGGGCATTTCTTTATCCACGGGCCACAGAACAACGGCATATATACTGCTGCTGCAGGAGGTTACTGGGTCCGCGCTGAGTCTCTGCGCTGGTCTCTCCTAGGATCTATACGGGTCTGCACTGGTCTCTCCCATGGATCTATACTGGTCTGCACTGGTCTCTCCCATGGATCTATACGGGTCTGCACTGGTCTCTCCCATGGATCTATACTGGTCTGCACTGGTCTCTCCATACGGGTCCGTGCTTCATGCTCCTGGATCCATACGGGTCCGCGCTGGTCTCTCAAGTCTGGTCTATGCGGTCTCTCTTCGGTCCGCGCTGGTCTCTGCGCACCGGTCTCTCCAGTCAGGTCACTACAGTCTATGCGGTCTCTCCTATAGGTCCGCGCTGGTTTCTGTGTGCTGGTCACTCCAGTCTCTCCTCGGGTCTGCATTGGTCTCAGCGCTGGTCCGCGCTGGATCTCCTCCCAGGGTCCAAAATATTTTGAGATTAATCTCAAAACATTTTGAGATTCATCTTTAAAATAATACATAATATATTTTTAAATTAAGCTCATAACAGTTTGAGATTAATCTCATCATATTCTTAGATTAATCTCATAATTTTGCTAGTTCGACTTTATTATCATAATATTTCGACTTTTAAGTCAACATTTTATAACTTTATTCTCAGTCTGGGTGACTCTTTTGCTCCGTGTAAAGGCCTGTTGCTGTTTCCTCTGCCGTCTGCACACGGCCCTGCAGTCCCTTATATGGGCATTAGTGGGCGGTTACTTATGCTAAGTACCTATGCTAATGAAGCACCTGGCACGCGCGCTGTACTTACGAGGAAATGGGATTCATCAAGCTAAGAGAACAGCTGCGAACAATTCAGCGGCTTACGAGTGCGTTAATGAATCCCACGTGGGGACTTCTTAGAAATCTACTTAAGGACAACTTGAGAAGAAAGTTGAGTAGTTTCTTACGAAGTTATTCGTGAATGAGGCCCAATGTTCTTTATAAACAAAAGTCTTGTTGGACAGTTAGTGTCCAACAGAAAGGATTGGTGATGATCAGGACACTTTAGCATTCTACAACATGTATGGACATTTTCTTCTGTGTGTGCTTTATATTCTTCATGTGTTTTAACTGTTGATTCTCATTTATTTGCAAGTTTTATATTTTTAAAATCTATTTATTTATTTATTTATTTCTGTATATATTTATTGTTTTGGCAGCCACGGTCCTCCATAAGCGCTCGCTACACGCAAAAAACAGACGGACACAATATGGAATATAAAAAAAAATCAGAAGTGACCGAACAATGCTGCCGCGTTAGCATATCAAAACAAAGCAGTAGACAAAACAATGACGTTGTTTTAGCAGTATTATTATTATTATTATTATTCCCCCCACTGTAGGAGCCAATAAACTTTTCAATATTTTAGAATTTTGAGCGTTTCCAATTGTATTTAAAAATGGGAAACCTAATTAAACAATCATGAATTGAACTTTTCCGATCTTATTTTACACTGATTCCTTTGATCATTTTTTTCTTAAAGTTCAAGTTATAAAAATGCTATGTTTGAGTTGGTTATTTACATTTTAACTGTGAGTGACACGTAAGGCGGGACAACAATGCACAATGACGCACGCGTTCTGAATAGAATAATATGTATTAATATCTCTAAAACTATAAGAGAATATTCAAGTTTTACAACATAAACGACGTCATATGCTTGTCCATTATGCATAAAAGCACAGTGCCCTCAGCAAAACCACATATTTGGAAAAACTATAGGCTAACAGATGTAGCTCTAGTTTCAATCATCCTCATTTTATTCAGTCAGACTTGTCAAATATAGATGCCCATGGGAGAGTGAGCAAGGGGAGATAACATGCCCAAAAATATCCTGCATAGACTCAATCTGCGATCAGCTGAAATATGAGCACCCAAAGAGCGAGAGGGAAAAAGAAAAGTAAATAGGCTTAGGCTAGTTAGTATTTTTTCTCTCACAAAAGTTGGCGCGGATCATATGCCATCTTTCGTGGAGGAGGAAACATCAAATATCAAAGGGCGCACACGGGGAACAGCGGGACTTGTCTTGTTGTTGAAGTCCCGAAGTTCCCCCACTTCTAATGGCGGGGGAACATCGGTACGCACCCCTACCTGCTCTGATGCATCTCACACGCAGCATTCTGAGTAATGTTATGGATAAAGGGGCGGGTTATTCGGACATGCGTTAATGCGTTCTTTTTTTTTTTACGCGTTAAAAAAAAGTGTAATTAACGTGAAAGCAAAGGAAACGTGAGTTAACGCAATCATTTTGACAGCCCTGGTATATTTACATCTGTACATGTTAGCAGCAGTATGTTTACATCTGTACATTAGCAGCATGAGGCTCTGGAACACAGTAACTCTGTAAAGTGATGGTTCTGTTCTGGTTCACCGGGCGGCACGGTGGCTGAGTGGATAGCACTCTCGCCTCTCAGCAAGAAGGTCCTGGGTCCTTGGACCAGGGCCTTTCTGAGTGGAGTTTGCATGTTCTCCCCGTGTCTGCGTAGGTTTCCTCCGGGTGCTCCGGTTTCCCCTACCACTAAAAATATGTACAATAGATCTGGCATGTGCCTCCTGTACTGGCGACCCCAATCCCAAAAATCACAATTGTAAACCGCTTTGAGACTCCGATGTGCAGTGAAAAGGCGGTATATAAAGATTACTTACTACTACTACTACTATTGCACATTCGGATATGACTAAAATCAGAATATTGTACAATCAGATATGACTAGAATCAGAATATTGTACATTCTGACTATGACTAAAATTAGAATATTGCACATTCTGATATTAGTATAATCAGAATATTGCACATTCTGATATGACTAAAATCAGAATGTTGCACTTTCTGATATTAGTATAATCAGAATATTGCACATTCTAATAGGACTAAAATCAGAATATAGAACATTCTGATATTAGTACAAACTGCCAAACCTCGTGGATAACCTGAGAAAGTTATCACTTTTGATTCTACTCCTGAGAAGTTTCGCTTGAGTTTGGTTCAGTCCACAATAGTTTAAGTTGCTCTCACTCACTGTGTGTACTTTGTGTACTTGTATATAGTAGTAACTTTCATGTTTTATTCATGCATGCCTTTACCTTTATCCTCTTACAACTTGACTGCACCATGAGCCAAAGCAAATACCTAGTTTGAGACTTCTTGTTACTTACAATAAAAAAAAAACTGATTCTGGTTCTGAATAGTCTATAAATATCTATTACAGAGAGAGCTCTCACACCTGAGCCTCTCTGCAGGTGAGCTGAAGGGGGCGGGGCCGGATGAAGCCACGCCCCCTGAGTCCATTTAAAAACAGCAGCAGCAGCAGAGACACAGACACAGAACTCTCACCTCCTCCTCTGTCCCAGACCTGCTGACGGTGAGTCTCTGCCAACAACATACTGTAGGAAAGATTTTGTTGCAGAAAAGTTCATTTAGGAGTTTGAGAAATAATTGTTGCCAATTTTGAGAAGATTTTGAGATGATTGCTTTCAGGTGGTCGTCTGTTTTTCCTTCGCAGCTTTAGTGATGTCAATTTCACGAAACAGAACTTGTTTTTCAGTTTTTGTGACACATGGCGGGGTTTGAAAAATATGTAATTTGAAGAAATAGGAATACACAAAAATGGAGGAGGTATTTTAATCCAGTTTAATGCATTTTGGTCTGTGGTTGTGTGTGTCTCTGTGTATATGAGGTGTGTGTCTGTGTGGTATGGTGTCTCTCTGTCTGTGTGTGTGTGTGTTCTGTGGATCTGTCTCTCTCTGTGGTTGTGTGTGTCACTATTACTACAAAATGAAGACTTCATCTACTCTAGCATCTACTCCTTCAGCTGTAAATGAATAAATCTATAAAGTTGTGTTGCGGCCGACGGGGAAGCTTTAGAAACCGTATCAAATCTGATGCACTGGATGTAGCTGTAAAGTTAGACGACACTTCAAAAGCATTCATTCATCTTTTCTCCCTCATTTTAACAAACGCAGCCATATTGTCTGGTATTTCAGAACATATTGTTAAAGTCTTGTTGAACGCACACAAGCACAAATATGTGGCTGTGGAAGAAAAGTCTCCAGAAACTAGATTTTTCAGTCATTGTCCATTTAAAGGTGACGTCTGATAAGAAAACACACCTTGTTTTTATAATGAATACATTTAAAACTGTCAGTCCCCATGGAAAAAACCTCAACGGTACAATCTTCTGAGGAGGATCCACAACTGTCTATCCAGGGTTTTAATGAATTGTCCAATCATAGAGCAGTGGGGGCGGGGCTAACGGGTGCTGGCATTCGAAAAGCCTCTCTCCATCTTCACACTTATGTTTTTCACAGCGACCTTCACTTTAATAGACTTTTGAACAAAGGCGACCATCTTTTACTCGTGGTTGTATGGCGTTGGAGTACACGCACAGCACATAATCGTCTGTGTTAGCGGACCCCTCCCAAGGTTTCTCACTTTTCTCCCACTGGGTTTTTAGACTGGTTCCTTGTCGACACAGAAGGGGCCAAGGACAGTGACGACCCGGGACACTCCACATTTAACGACATTTATGGACTTTTTTGACATTATGGACATTGGTCTCTGTCCCTCATGGACCAATGGCTCTATGTGTTTTGTTTACGAGATAAACTGTATTGATCTCACACTGGAGAAATGTACATGTCACAATTAGCATATTAGAATCACTCAAATTGAGCAAAAAGACAGACGTTAAGGTTAAAAATATAGTCTGTGCAGGATATAATTATGTACAATAAAAAAGTGGCTATAGCTAAATCCTCAGAGAAAACCACTGTTGCGATTTAGGGCTATACAAAAATACATTGCATTGATGGAGTTTGTAGTCATCCCAGCAGGTGGATTGCATCAGCATCCGTACTTTGCTTCATGTGTCGCAGGAAGACTCTGGCAACAAAACTTGGCCTCTATTGACTCTATTAGACTAAGAGTGCATATTAATTCCCTTTAATGTCTCGGTCTGGGTCTCTTGAATGGCTGCTCCGGCTCCGTCTGCCTTGTCTTACCACCTGACACCAGTGTTCTCTGCCTCTCGCTTGTGTCCGCTGCCTCTCGTCTGTCCAAAACAAAGCTGTGAGCCTGTGTGACCTCCTAATCCCTCCGCTGGGGGTCCCTCTGCTGTTGCTTCGGGGCTGGCGTCTCTCCCGCAGACTCTCGGGTTCCGCTGTAAACAGTATCTCAACTTTGACAAAGGCCATACTCTTAGTTATTGATAAGTCTGTACAGTATCAGTGCAGTTTTGTCGACCGTTGATGGGTCCTACTCGTGCTAGAGTTCCCAGGGTGCGGTGCTGCCTCAACCTCTGTCTAACCCACGGACTCCCACGATTGTGAAACCGCTAGAACTCCCAGAGCAGTTGTTTTGACTGCTCTTATTCAAACCAATGGGAATATTGAGAAATTGTCCCGTAAGTAATCTTTATTTAAGTAATCTTTATCTGCCTTTTCACTGCAGATCTGAGTCTCAAAGCGGTTTACAATTGTTAATTATGGGCGTTTGTCTCGCACTCCACAGAGATGGGAGCGGGGTCGCCAGTACAGGAGGCGCATGCCTGAACTATTGGACATATTTTTAGTGGTAGGGGAAACCGGAGTACCCGGAGGAAACCTACGCAGACACAGGGAGAACATGCAAACTCCACTCAGAAAGGCCCTGGTCCGACCGGGATTTGAACCCAGGACCTTCTTGCTGAGAGGCGAGAGTGCTATCCACTCAGCCACCGTGCCACCCAAATGTTTAGTTTTTTACAAAGTGCTATATTTAAGCAGTTTGTTGAAATGCTAACTGGTAGAAAGTACATTTTGTTGCTATGGTAACTAGTGGGAGGTAAAGGTAGGACTTTTGTCATTTCATAAGTAACAGAAAATGAGAAAATGACATAGAAAAAACTACTTTCATTGATGCTGTTTTTAGTGTAAATTGTTTCTGTACTTTTATTTTATTTATTCATGTAATTATCTAGTGCACACTTGAGACGTTTGCTTTTACTGCAAAGGGCAAATAAAATGAATCTGCAAATGGAGACAGAAAAAGTCCCAATGTATGCTCTGATGTCAAGAGGATGGGGCTAATCGCTTCTTTGCTCACTCGTTTGGCCGTTTAGATGGTAATATTTTTGCTAATTACCAAAAGTGATTGTCTAATTTTCCAGGTCAATTATTTTGTCTTTTGCAGCAGGACACACGGGTGTAGTGCAGGCAAACAACTGTTTTCATGTGTTTGGAAATGTGGATTCTTTTGAAAGTACAGTGGAACAAAACGTATAAACCTGGTACTGACTTGACAAGTTTCTGAGTTGCTTTTAATTTCCATTTTTCCGAGTTTGAAGCTGGAACTTGAGTTTGTGTCCTTTTGTATTTTTGTTATTTCTTTGTATTCATTCAAAGTGTGCAGAAGGAAAGTCACATTTGTCGACAACAGTTTAAAGTGTGGTGGAGGCAGTGGAGAAATCCTTTTTGGTAACTATAGTAACTGTCAGAATTCTAGTCTTGGTTAAGAAATCACTTTTTCTTTGGAAGTGCATATAATAAAAAAAATACATATTGCTGACAGACACACAGATAGTATAGAAGATGTTTGCATATTAAATAAATTGATCTGAGATGCAATTTTTATTCCTAAATTTCTTTCCCATTGTTTCTTTGGCACCTGCCGTCAGCTGAGGCGAGTAAACGTGTGTGGTTCTTGGGCATTGCAAAAAATAAGTTTTAAAAAAATGCTCACATTTCCAATACACTTTATTTATATAACAAGTTTCCAAAGTGCTGCACAGATGAAATGAACACCTGTAGAGATTTGCCAGCCTGTTTTTCATTTTATGTTTAAAAAATAAATAAATAAAATGGAAGGGATATATTATGGACAATGTAAAGGCCATATATAATAAACAAAATGCCAGTAAAAAATGTTTTGATAACTGGTATTTTATTATCTGATTTAAAATAAAACTCAATGAATCAAGAGGACCACAACTCGTGCGGTGTTAAAAGCCAAATTTGTAAAATGTCTAATTTGACAACATTCTGACTGCCTTTAAAACAAGATTTGTCAACTAGAAAAAGCTAAACTTATGTTTTAAAAGATGCAGAAATGTCTCCCTTGGAATGAGAAAATAAACTGTCCCATCGGAGAAGCGTGTTTTAACAGAATGTGTCAGCTTAAGATTAGGACAAATTCCCACTAAATAAGTAAGTAATTCCTTCATCGTTCTCTTCCCGTGTTAGCATCTGTAGCTTTCAGGTCCGTCATGTCCAACAGACTGTCGCTGGCGATCGAGACTCTGGTGGGGGTGTTCCACGAGTACGCTTCCAAAGACGGGGGCCGCGGACGGTATGAAGGGAACTGCATGGACCAGTTCACACTGAGCAAGAGGGAGTTCAAGGAGCTGCTGCTGAAGGAGCTCAAGATGGACGTGAGTCTGTGCTGGGAGCAAGTAAAGCTGGGGGACCTGACTTTACAGCCACGTAGTTAACACCAGGGCGCTCACGATTATGGATCGCTGCTCTTTCTGGCGTCTTTCTCTTGGTCCCTTTCTGGTGTCTGTCTCGCTCTCTCTGTTGGTCTCTTTCTGGTCTTTCTCTCTCTTGGGCTCTTTCAGGTAAATCGGTGTCTTTCCCTTGGGCTCTCTTTCTCTTAGAGTGTTTCACTTTCTCTTGGGGTGTTTCTCTTTCTCTTGGTCTCTGCCTCTTATGATCTTGCCTGGTTAGTACAGTGATGGGAGACCTCAGGGAACAGCAGGTACCACAGTGGGGCGGCTGTAAAGTGCCAAACTCTCATTGTGTCCTTAGGCAAGACACCTCACCCACATTAGAATGAGTCTGGTGTGTGAATGAACGGTGGTGGGAGGGGCTTCTGTCAGAGTGCCTCAGGGCAGCTGTGGCTACAGTAGAAGTTCATCACCACTGTGTATAAAGTGAATGAATAATGACAAGTGAAGAGTCTTTGAGTGACTAGAAAAGCGCTGTATAAAACTGCTTTATATTGTCAATCTGTTATTTATCTTACCAATTATCACCTGTGTCCTCCATTGTTACAAATTTCCCGTTCCTTCTGTGGGTGAAAAACATGGTCTTATGGAGAATAGAATGTTCAGTTTTATTTTGTGTGTTGAACAATGGCAGAACGTCAGAGACCCGGCCAAGCTGGAGGTGCTGATGAAGGACCTGGACGACAACGGAGACGGGCAGCTGGACTTCCAGGAGTTTGTGGTCATGGTCGTCACGATGGCGAGTCTGTGCAACGACCTCCTGCTGAAGAACCTGACCGACAACTGACTGCAGACTCCGCCTCCCAGAGACTGCCACATCCTGAAACTGATCCGCTGGTTCTGCTGTCTTCATGCAGTCACAATAAAACTCATCAAACAGTTCTTAGTCTTTTGTGTGTATAGAAGTAGTAGTATAGTGTATGCTTCACAACAAAAAGGTCCTGGGTTCGAATCCACCGCCAGTCCTTTGTGTGTGTAGTTGGCATGATTTCTCAGTGTCTGTATACGTTCCTCCAGGTGCTCCGGTTTACAATAGATATGCCTCCTGTATGCGACTGCTCAATCTGTGTGGAGTGAGCACAATGCCACAATTTGTGTGTTTAAAAAAATAAATAAAAATGTAGTAGCTCCTGTCTTGAGTGTTCCCACCGTCAGGGCAGTTAAGTATTTGAGCATAGACAAACTATTCAGACCCTTTGTATACAGCCTCCTGCAGCGGCTGTGGTTCAACAGAGAAATTCTGAATGATTAGTTTTCCACCAGATTTGAGAAGTTCGCACACTTTTCAAGTGCAACAATCCAGTAAATTCAACTTGGTAAAAAAAACCCTGAAATACAATTTCATGTCTTCAAATTATACAACTATGTGCTATTAAGCCGCTTGCTAAAACAAACAGCCTTTCTTACGGAGACCAAGAAACTTAAGGTTTCTTGGTCTCCGTACAGATAACTAATCTACCTTTAAACGTCCAACACTCAGTCCTGTCTGAGTGTTGGACTTACGTCAGGTTTGGTGTGAGCACAGCGCCCCCATGTGGACGAATAGAGCATTGTCAAACGTAAGGTAAAATGTATAAAGATGGAAGAGAAAAGTAATGTTCATATTTTATTGTAGGAACAAATGCAATGATTTTAGCCAAAAATAAAACAGAACTTAGCTTTGAGTTAATATTCTTTGGTCTTTAGTCAACTAAACTATTTCAAGTCTAAATTAACCACTGCTGCTCCAATCATAATACCATCACAGGACAAACCAGGCCCTGTCCTGCTTAGCTTCAGAGGTCGTACAGGATCTGGCTTTCACCTGCAGGTGGCGTCACAGATGAAAAATATATATAAAATAGTGCAAGTGAAAAGTATTCAGAGGTGGTAGATCATGGACGCTGCTTCAGAGCCACCAGGACAAAGTTTCTTGGAGAGAAGTTTGGGTCAAAGAGTGGAACCAGCCGACTGCTCACACCTGGAACACCATCAAAGACCAGGATTACAGATGAGGCCTTTTCTCAGCACAACACAATCAATATTTGCTGATTTAGAAGAAAACAAACTGATTAAGTGTCTTTGCATTTGGTGAAGTTAGAGCCAGAAGAAGACACCGCAACTTTTGTAGCTTTGTTAAAGGGGCGAGAATATTGATAAAAAAATGTGGAGGATTTGCTAGTATTGTGATATTTGGGCCACATTTCAGTATTATTGCTATTAACAGTAAGGAGTGAATAAAAAATGAAATGTGAAGCATCTTTGAGTGTCCAAAAAAGTGCTGTATAAAACCGAGTGTGGCTATATCTCACTCTGCGTGCTGTCTGTCAAATTAGTTTCACATAAGTTTAACTACAAAAGTAAATGGACTTTTGCACTATGTTTTAATATTCCCGGTGATGATCCAGGACAATAACATTTCAGTTATTCTAGTGTTAAAATGAAACCTAAGCGTAAACTAACATAATCCAGCTGCCACAAAATCCATCGTCACGTCAAAACCGTATCATCAAATCACCTAAATCGTCAGGGTAAAGTTCAGTTCCGTAGTGTAAGCGGGCGTTGTTCCTCGGCACCAGTTTATGAGGTGCCTGTCACTTTCAGGCATCTCAATTTTTGAGGGGGGTCGCGAACATTTCTATTAAACTCCCCTCTGCAGACGTCATGCAGTATTCCCGCCGGGGTCTAATCGCCAAAGCTAATCTGTAATTATAATGGTACTCAATCTAAGTCTGCTGGTGTTTATTCATGCATCTTGACAATAAATATTCAAATGCAATCTTCATCGAGTCTTTCCAGATTTAATCAGAATAATGTATTGTCTTATTGTCACATCATAGAGAGTCACAGAAGCCTCAGATAGACTCACCGTTCTCCTGGAGGAAGAGGATCCGGTCCAGCAGCACCAGACTCTCCACCACCGGAGCCAGCAGCAGAGCCAGGCTGTAGAACACCACCACCCGGCCCTGGAGCCTCAGCATGGCCTCCACCCGCTCAGGGTCCAGGGCCAGGTCCTCAGGCAGACCCACCCGGGGCAGACCCAGCCGGGCATACCTACAACCACCAAACACTTTTACTATTTTACTATTCAGAAGTCTCAGCAAAAGGACTTCAATTTACTGTTTAGAGACTGCACTCTACTGATAGAGAAGTAGAGTAAAGTAGAGTAGAGTAGAGTAGAGTAGAGTAGAGTAGAGTAGAGTAGAGTAGAGTAGAGTAGAGTAGAGTAGAGTAGAGTAGAGTAGAGTAGAGTAGAGTAGAGTAGAGCAGAGCAGAGCAGAGCAGAGCAGAGCAGAGCAGAGCAGAGCAGAGCAGAGCAGAGCAGAGCAGAGCAGAGCAGAGTAGAGTAGAGTAGAGTAGAGTAGAGTAGAGTAGAGCAGAGCAGAGCAGAGCAGAGCAGAGCAGAGCAGAGTAGAGTAGAGTAGGTTCTCTCACTCTGTGAAGGGCAGCAGGTGAGACTTCTTGACGGTCTGGATCCCCGCTCTCCGCAGCTCGGGCCTCGCGTCTCGGATGAAGTTCTCCAGCGCCGCTCTGTAGCAGTGCGTCTTCAGCAGCGCGCTGTCCTCCCGCAGCCTCCGGAGGTAATCCTCCAGGGCGTGGCAGGAGCCCTCCCTCGCCTTGTAGGACAGCTGGTGCCCCGGCAGA